TCATGAATGATCCTGCGGTCCTGTGTCCTGCATCGCGAGCCCTGGATCTTGAGTCGTGGCTGTGGTCCTGGATCATAGGTCCTGGATGGATATCCTCGTGGATTCATCTTCCTATTATACACACATGCATTTCCAAACATTTGGACTACCTATGTTGCAAATGTATTATCTTTTCAATTTACACACGGCATCTATTGCACGTCTGTCCGTCCTGGGAGAGGGATCCCTCCTCTGTTGCTCTCCCTGAGGTTTCTCCCATGTTCCCTTTAAACTGTGGGTTTTCTCCAGAAGTTTTTCCTTGTACGATGTGAGGGTCTAAGGACAGAGGGTGTCGTATTGTCATACTGATATTCTGTACACACTGTGAAAACCACTGAGACAAATGTAACATTTGTGATATTGGGCTATATAAATAAACATTGATTGATTGATTGATTGATACAGTGTGTCCTATGCAGCATACCAAGAATACCAGGATGTCTAAATGCATCTGGTTGCATTTTGCAGCATGAAAGGCAGCATGCTTTTCTAGCTATTCTGACCCGACTGATCCTTTACACAGAAGATATATGAGGCAGGGGGTCAAGGTTAAGAGTTGTGATGAAGTAGTATGTCACAATTTGTTTGCACACTGCATGCAACACATCCTTGGTAAGAGCAGCTGCTGCAGAACTTACTAACAGACTGAACAGCACTAGTGAAGTGGAGGGGTTCGAAACAAGCAGAATAAAAAGATCAGCCATGTGAGGAGTTCGCTACATCAGAACTTATTCTGCAAATGTGTTTCCAAATCCAAATTTAAAATCAACTCTTTTTCAACAAAGGCAAAGACAAGTACCAACCAAAAATACGAATATGAACCTGAAAATGTGCCTCATACTTAAGGGTTCAATCCTGTTGCATTTAGGTGTACAGTAGGCTTGTAAAGATCACTTAAAATATTGCACCCGTTAACATTTTAATCTTTAGATGCCTCTTGAGGTTCCATATTTCTGACTGGACCTGAAGGCAGCGTTACAACAGCTTTGCCAGATGAGCAAAAAAACATCTGCTTCTAAAAGTTCAGTAAAGATATCAGCGATACAAAGACTGTTTATGTGGACTGGAAGCTGTTGCTAGTTTAATACCTTTTTTTGACAAGGCTTACATTTCTTGCAGTCCAGAGATTTGTACTGTGTACTCATATTAAAATCCAGTTTTGTAAATACAAATTTGGTGTTGCATAACAACAACAAGCAGAAATACATCAGAACAAGTCTGGTGATTTTATTACTGCGCGATTCTGGAGCTGAAATGTGATTTATTTGAAGATGTTCTGTGTGCAGATTGGATTTACCTACATTGCAGCAGAGAACGAGACGGTGAGAGATTACCAGTGATTACATTACATTTCAGGGTCGGATTACTTTCCCTTTGCAGAACTGCCAACATGAAGGGAGGCGAAAGAGACTCACTGAATTAAACACCATGGTTGTGGCGGTAAACATTTATGGATATTGTTTAATTGTGTGGAAAAACAATTACTTCTGATTTGGTTTCATGTCAATCTTAAAGGGGCAGTTGAAAGCAGAATCATAAACGCTAATTTTCCTTTTGCCTGTAGTGCTATTTATCAATCTAGATTGTTATGGCATAAGTGTGTTGGAGATATCATCCGTAACATGTTCTCCTTAATATAATGGAACTAAACGGCACTTGACTTGTGGTGCTCAAACTGCAAAAAAAAAGTTATTTTAAAGGGGCCCATCATGTTCATTTTCAGGTTCATATTTGTCTTCTGTGTCTCTACTGGGACATGTTTACAGTCTCCATTCTCCAATTTTTTGTGTTTTCAGCTTCCTGTAGTCGTGTGTTATAGTTTTTAGTGCATGTGAATGGTCTGCAAAGGCTAAAAAGAATTCCGTTTTTTTGCATGAAATGCCTCCATTGGACTGCTTTATTACTTCCACTTTGACATCACTATGTAACACTCAGACTTCTATTGGCTAGCGCTCCAACATATTGTACGTGATAGGCTAAGGGGCAGGACATCTCTAATGGCGCATTTCCACTGCAGGGCCTCGCACGGCTTAGTACGTTATAGTTAGGCCTTGGTAGGCCAGGCTCACTTTATGCTGCGTTCCCATTACAGTTTAGGAACTGCGGTAGTAACTATAGTAACGCAGTGTAGGCGGAGTCTCGACGTCATCTTCAATGCGAAACACAAAACCAACATCAGCCGTTAGCTCTTAGCACTCAAAGCTCAAAGCTCCTCATATCTGTTCAGAAACTAGACAAAAGTTAAACAAGTACAAACCACAGACTGCCTGTGTCATGGCAAATACAGTCGCTGGTTTATTTATGTTTGTAGGCCGTTGTTGTGAGTGTGGACGGTCGGAACATATACTGCGTTAGCTTAGCCGATCTCCATTCAGAAAACATGCATTTTAAAAGGTTTTTCGCCTGCCGTCTGTCTGCAGACTTGTCAAAGCATTAATTCATGGTTTTTACTAACCGATATCAGTATGTTGTTACTTCGGCATCATTTTGAAACGTGTTACAATTAAATCACGGTAAAATATGTTCATTTTATTGTAGTTGCCAGCGATTCTCTCACTAGTTTAGCATATTCAGCCTGGTTGTTGGCCCGGAAAGAACCTCGATTTTGGAGAGCCAGAAAAACTGTGAAAAAGTACCCGTTAGCTGGAACTACGCCTAGTGGAAACGCAACCAAAAACGGGCCGGGTTTGACACAGCACGCTTAAACTGTGCTACGCGCTGCAGTGGAAATAAGTGGTTGACAAATCCAAACAGAGCCGGCTAGCTAACCAATCAGAGCAGACTGGGCTCTGGTTTCAGACAGAGGGTGAAAAGAGGTGTTGCAGCACAGGCAGTATGAGAAAAATAAAGAGCTTTTTGAACATTAAAGCATGGAGACATGTCCCAGTAGAGACACTAAATATGATTATGAACCCAAGCAGAATATGTCCCCTTTAACTCAGTACACTGACATGTCAAACGGAGCTCTGATCCTGGATCTGCTAATCTTAGAGACTTCCTTTGCATAAATGATGTGTGGCTGGCTTGCAGTAGAGGTAGAGGATGCCACCACTACTCTCACTCAATTTGCCTACTACAGACACAAAGCATCCATGTTGGAAAGAGTAACATCATTCATGTTATTCACTAAGTTATGAATTACTTCTTCTATGACCATTGTGTGTGTGTTTTTATCAAAATATATGCACTAAGTGTGCAGCTGCTGCTGATATGATGACCCCCACGCTTTGTATAGTTGCACGCTCATGCTCTGAGAAGATGCCAGTGTGATCTGTTTGGCCTCTTTGTTTATGGAGCCGGGCCTTTCCTGCCCTCTGATGTGCGTGCTCCAGTCATGAATAGAGCTGCTTTGTGTGTGTGTGTGTGTGTGTGTGTGTGTGTGTGTGTGTGTGTGTGTGTGTGTGTCCACACACACACACACACACACACACACACACACACACACACACACACACACACACACACACACACACACACACACACACACACACACACACACACACACACACACACACACACACACACACACACACACACACACACACACACACACACACACACACACACACACACACACACACACACACACACACACACACCTCATGATTCAAATGCTGAGTCCATCTGATCAGTGTGTCCAAGAGTGAGAGATAGGAGGATATGATTTATCAGACGGTGGAAAACTATTTCCCTAAATGTGAATGTTGCTTTAAAAAAAATATATATGCCTTTCTTGTTAGCAAACTCCGTCCGAGTGCACAATGTGTAAGTTATGGCTAAAATGCTTGTTTATAAACACATTTTAAATGAACTGCATGTGAATAGGGTACAGTGTTGACGTTATGACATGTAGATAGACGTGTAGATATAGTGTTGCAGAGAAATCTACTGAGATTAGCACAATTTGGAAGCGAGCCCCACCTGGTCCTTTCTTGTAATAACACGTGGTCTACGTCTAGGCGACAGTGAGTCATTGTTGCGTCATTTTGTTCTCATTCAGGACAACAAATAATCAATCATGGTAAAAAGTAGAGCACTCAGTACAGTAAACACAAATATGGCTAAAGCTCTTGGCAACCCAACCACCTGCTCCGGGCAAAAAAAAAGTTTGGCAGGGAAAGAATGGAAGTGATAAAAAGAAAGAGCAAAACAACAGTAAACATGGCGTGTCCTTCCAACACTGGAGACAGCTCTTGGCGGACAGAAGAAAGTAACCCAATCGTTGGCCGTTTAGCAAAACTATTTATTTAGCAAGGCTATTTAGCAATTGCAATTACTCTTACTACTTTTGTAACCACTTTTTGGGCAGTAGCAGTCTTTAGAAGCTTGACTTGGGAATCGGATAGTTACCGGTTCAAGTCCCAGAATGGACCAAGTACAGAGTCTTAACTGGTACTCTGGTGAAGTGCCAGTTTCCCTCCTGGGCCCTGCCGAGGTGTCTTTAGCAAGGCACCAGAGCGCTGTCCAATAGCTGCCCACAGCAGTAGCCTACTGGATCAAATGCAGAAACTAAAGTTTACTGTGCACATTACATATGTTTACAAAAGAGGAATTCATTCAACTCCTCCATTTCCAACTAATGACAACACAAACCGAACAAAATTGCAAATGGTATAGATGTTGGCTGATTTTTTTCTTGTAATATGGTCTTCCAAAAACTGAGCTGAGCAACTTCAACTATAGACTGACGTCATCATCCATGTAGTTTGGACTGGAGCATGTGGCCATACATTGTTCAGTGTACCTTCAAGTCAAAGCCATTCTTCATTTCTCTGTATAAACACTTACCTGACTAAAATACTTGTAATAAAGACAGATAATACAGAGATACGCATTGTAACTGGAAGGATTTTTTTTGTTTTAAATCGACAGAAAACGAAGCAAAGAAAAGGCAAACTTCGGTCCATTTTAGGGGGGCATGGCCAGTCCCGTGACGTCACTGATGGTTATATAGGCTGCAGCTGTGGCAGCGTGCTCGCGCTGCTAAGACAGGGAGAGCACTGAGGACCGGTGGCGCGCGCTCACACACACACACTCCCCCAAACAAAGAGAAGCACGCGAGGCAGCACAGAGCATCCCACCCTTTCAGCCCTCGAGCTCCATCCATCCCCTCTTTTTGGCACAGAACCGGTCCCGGTCCGAGCGCACAGAAAAACCGACAATGACAACCAACGGCTCGACTAACGGAACCAGCGACATGCTGCAGATCCAGTTCGGTCTGATCAACTGCGGGAACAAATACCTCACCGCCGAGATGTTCGGCTTCAAAATCAACGCGTCCGCCTCCAGTATGAAGAAGAAGCAGATCTGGACTCTGGAGCAGAGCGGAGACGACTCCACCGGGAACGTTTTCCACCTCAAGTCTCACCTGGGCCGGTACATCGCCGCCGATAAGGACGGGAACGTCACCGGGGAAAGTGAGACCCCGGGCGCGGAGTGCCGCTTCGTCATCACCGCGCACGATGATGGCCGCTGGTCCCTGCAGTCCGAGCCGCACGGCCGGTTCCTGGGCGGCACCGAGGACCGGATCATCTGCTTCGCGCAGACCGCGTCTGTGGCGGAGAAGTGGAGCGTGCACATCGCCATGCACCCACAGGTGAACCTCTTCAGCGTGACACGCAAGCGGTACGCGCACCTGAGCGGCAAGGTGGACGAGATCGCCATCGACCGCGACGTGCCGTGGGGGGTGGACTCCATGATCACACTGGTGTTCCGGGACCAGCGGTACCACCTGCAGACCTCAGATAACCGGTTCCTGAGCAGCGACGGTGCGCTGCTCGCCACCACCGACCGGAGCACCGGATACACGCTGGAGTTCCGCTCCGGTAAGGTGGCGTTCAGGGACTGCGGAGGGAAGTACCTGGCGCCTTCAGGGCCCTCCGGTACCATGAAGTCCGGGAAGAACGCGCGGGTCGGGAAGGACGAGCTGTTCGTGCTGGAGCAGAGCCACCCGCAGGTCGTGCTAACAGCCGCCAACGAGAGGAACGTCTCCACCCGGCAAGGTGAGTGTGGTGGCCCGGTGTGTGTGTGTGTGTGAGTGTGTATTTACTATTTGAAGTTGGGACACTGCACATTGATTAACACTGGCACCTGAGTCCATCATGTAAATGTCGCAGATTTTGCAATATGGTTGATGGCATTCAGATGAAACATACAAGAGCACAGAAAAAACACAATTACAGCACATGTTAAAGTGCATTAATGAAATCCCATAACACACAAAAGCACACATGAACACAGATAAAAGCAAACGGGCACAGAGGAATAGATGAATGATGATATTACTCCTACTTCAGTTCAATCAGTTGATGACAACATGTTTGATTGCCCAGTAACCACTGCTTTACATATTTGGAGAAGGAGTTGAGAGATGTGATGTCCCTGTGTTTGTTTGTGTAGGCCTGATGGTCCTTCTGGTGACAGCTAGTGTGTGTGTGTATTTGGACTTATTTATTTGAGAGTACAATGCCATCATGTAAACGTGACAGATGTACCCATAGAGGGTCATTTTTATCTGCAGTCGTTGCAGGTTGATGTCTAAAAGAAAACATACAAAAGCACAGAAAAAACACAATCACCGCACATTTGAGAGCACATATGATCATTAAGAGCACATTAAAACAACCCTATAAACACACACAGACACTTGTGATGAGATGTGATGTTCCTTATGTGCGTGTTTGTGTGTGTTTGATTGGGTATGAAGGCCTGTTGTTCCTAGTGACAGCTAGTGTGTGTGTGTGTTAGTATTTCATCCTCTGGCAAAAGAAGGGTTAACGTGATGGAATGTCAGACTGCATCCCCCTGCAGCCTACACACACACACACACACACACACACACACACACACACACACACACACACACACATTCTCTTCCCAAGGGGTAGGATATGGGACATGTTAATGACCCACATATTCACACACAACACAGGCCTGTGAGTGTATTTACATGCTACACAATGGCTTGTTTGAGCAGCGTCCACATCCCTATCTGTAGATCCTCCTCACTCAAAAACCTGTATAGACGTTTATGGGAAAACTTGCACTTAATTTAAACATAATTGAAAATACCAGCTGATAAAAGCAGAATGAGCATAGTCCATGTTCGTTGTGAGTTTTTTTACAGACATGAGACATGAAAAGGTTGCTAACAAAGAGACCTTGGCTCTGTGACAGTGACTGGCAGGAGGCTGAACTGACACAGCAGAACAGCTAAATGAGAGAAAGGATGGCACATAATGTCTTAAAAACAGCCACATTTGGCCAAAATGTTACGTAAAATCCTTTAATCCAGGTGTTGTGGCCCGAGCCTGTTTTTCAGGTCCTAGGCTCGAAAATGACATTCACAGAACAAATGACTATCTTCACTTCTAAAAGGGGTAAATTAATAATCTTTTTTCTCAAAGCAATCATAAACCTGTGAGTTGGATGTAGAAAGTCAGAATCAATATAGATGTTTTTATTTTACAGTAAATTCAGATTGAATATAGTAAAAAAATGTAAATTATAGTTTCTGTCCAAAACAAACATTACTTATAGTGAAAACCACCCTTGAATGATGGAATAGTAGACTAAAAGCTTTAGGAATCCAAACTATATATAATAAGTACCCTGTATCAAGATTGATGCAAAACAAGTGACATTTGACCTTTTTTAGAGAGATTTAGAAAATAAAAAAACACTTCTGGGGTCATTTGGGTGGATTTGCCATATCTCTGGCCCCCCTCGGTCAATTTTGGTGATTGACATCTCTTTTGAACCGTTAGAGCCAATTGAATCGAGGGGGAAGTTCCCAAATCCACCTACACGTTACCATCATGGATGTATAATAAGGGTTACCATTGAGGAGAGTGATGCGCACGCAGCTTGCCCAAACCGAAAGCTTACGCTCTGAAAACTGAAAACTATTCTTATTGCCATAAATATGATGATGGATTATCAGTAATCATTTCAAAGTGACAGACATTGGATTAACCCTCAGCAGCGTTTTATGTGTTTTAATGCCATTGAACACCATTTTTGATAAAAAAACCGCAAAGGTAAGACGTATTTGGCTTTTTTGCTCCGTGAAGTTGTGTGTTGTCTTTGGGTTAGTTTTGGTCGCACAGTGATGATACTTATACCATTGGAATCTCAGTTTTGCGTGTTTGTGCAGATCCGATGAAGTATAAAAGATCGCTATGGGCTAAATGCGTTAGCACTCTTTCACTTAGTGCTAATTCAGACGCTCGGCGTTAGTTGTGTTAAATTGTTTCGGTAAAAATTGTTCGTATCGTCAGTTAGCAGAGTTTCTTCCCGTTAAGTGGATATGACACATTAATAGGTTGTTAAATGTTAAGAAGCCCTGAGACACAGTTTCGTGAATATTGTTGTGCGTTGCCCCCATGGGGTTTAACAGGATCGCCAGGGGGCAATATGCTGTTACTTTTATGATTGAGTAATCTGCATCTGGTCAATAACAAGCGAAACATTTGCAATCCAGTTCTTAAAAGTTCTAGGTAATGACTTCTTCTTGTCTAAATCCCACAGATGTTTGCTTTAATATGATTTAACACCAAGAAAAGCAAGTCATTTCTACTCTTGGGAAGCTGAAAACAGCTTTTTCTGCCATTTCTTTCCACAGATGTACTGTATAGAAATATTAGCAGCTAACCTAATAAAAACTGATAGTTTTGACATGTGTTACCTACTAGTCTATATTAGAGCATTTCACTGCACTTCCACTGTTGCTCTGTTATTCAGGACTTCATTTAAAATGCAAAACATTAGTCATCACCATCGGCATGAATAAGCTATGGAACATATTCAGAATTTCACACGGCCCTGAAGGCATCGAAATCCTCCGAGTATTGTCTTCTTGCAAATTTAAAAGCAGATACATTCCTCAAACCTCAGAGTAATGATCCTTGTTTCACGTATATTTCAGATAATAAATGGTTGATATAAGGTTTTCTTGTTTTCTCACATTATGTCTTTGTGTGTCTGAAAGAGGTGGCAGATTAAAGCTTGTTCCGCCACCTTTCCTTCCTCCTTTCATTCCTTCCTCCTTTATTCCCTCCCCCTTTCCTTCTCTTCTTCTTGCATCACCTTTTCCCTTATTGTGCCTCCCATCTGTCTTTTTATGTCCATCATTTCCTGCCTTTTTCTTCTTCGCTGCCTCCTCACCCCTCCCCCACTCTTAGCTTGCTTTCTGTCTGAGGTCATTATCAGTAGCATCCCTCACATTGATGGGAGTCTAAATAGATTTACGAGTGAATGCATCCTTTAATTTCACCATTTAATTTCATTGAAATTAATCCGGGAGTCCTCCATTTTAACGCAGCAGTGAGAGTGTGATGCATGCTTGAAAAACCTTTTTTAAATATATCAACGCCTGTGAAGCAGAGACTGTGGCACTGAGTGTCTGCTGTAATGAATGATAGGAACACACTAATTGATGCTCTTTAAATCTATAATCAGTATCTGGTTAGAGGAGAACATTGGTGAGAATACCGTGCGGTTTAGTGGTTTTGCAACAAAGTATGATTCATCTATGCTTTTATTTTCCTGTCTTTCTGTCACACCCTGAGTTGTTTATTTTTCTGCAGCCTGGCTTTGTTTACTTGTGGAGGGGATATGTATCCACTCGTCTCTCCTTCAGCCTCTTCACACTCTGACACAAAATGGAGGCCGTTTTTTTGGTGGAGATTTAATAAAAAGCCAGGAAAACGTAATAAACTCTGGTGATTTTTAAACGGATCTGTTGGAATTAGATGATGACCTCCTCTGTATTGAGAGCATGAATTGCATTTTAATAATCCCCCGGTGAAAAATCTAATTTCTGTATGTGACATTTTGCCAAATCAGATTATGTATTATGTAGGCTGCTGTCAGTGCAATGCCACAGGGACATCTGCGCACACAAGTGTTTAATACTCACACCATTAAATAATTTAATACATTTATTCAGGATTTGTTCTGGTAAACACAATTACAAATTCCTGTTGAAGCAAGACAATGTATCTAGTTTGGCTTGGCTAACTTTAATGGCATTAGTCAAGAATAAAAACCCTCAGTTGCAGCTGTGGATGCATTATTGATGGACAAATGGTGTGCTGGAAAAGTACCAATCTGACACATACAGCAGTTATCTTGCTGGATTCTGACCTTATTAAGCAGATCAGGTATCGGACATTTTGAGACGTTAAGGCTGCTCTGTGGAGATTTCGTGCTAACAGACAAAAGTTGTGTCTAAATATAGTGTTTCTGACCAAAATGCATTGTTTGTATCCTCAATGTCTTAGCTAAGATGTGGAGTGCATTATCTACCTGCATTGATTTGTAAACATTTTTTTCCAAAGCTGCGTTGTTGGCTAGACTGCAGTCTTTTTCTTAACTTTGTTGGGCCTTTTAATACATTTCTTCCTCGAATGCCGACCCCAATTTTCACTTAATTGACATAGAATAGGGTTAAGAATGTGTTGCATGTGCGTTCTCATGTGCCCGTACCATACAAACACAATAGAGAACAGCAGTGACGCGTCCTAAAACCCGGAAGTAAGTTAGCATTTTTACCACGTCCGGTTCCTTCGAGAAAAAGCAATGCAATCTCTCCATAGCATTTTGGAAAATAGCTGGAAATAAGGTCTGTGTTTGACACAAATTGAAGACACGAATCACGTTTTGTTCTACGACATTAAATACATCAGCAGTGACCCCACTGGTGATTTCTGAAGAGTTCACGGGTCTGAAAAACGATGGTTGTTACCAAGTGGCTGAATAGGACTACAGAAGTTGTCCAGGCCGTTTTACGTCATTACACCGAACACGTAAAACACTCCCGCTAAATTTGTTCCCCCTGTTCTGCTTGAAAGCAAGTTCCTGCCTCCTGCCTCCTGTTCAAACAAACACTTCAACTTGTACCATTTAGAGTCTGTATGTTTGAATATGGATCTTAAGTTGGCGTGACGTTGAAGCAGCGACCCTGCTGTAGTTCGTTTATAGCATAACGTTAGCATTTTGC